ACAGCCTGAGTGCATCAAAACCACACTTATCTGCTACCAGCATCTCTGTACCCTATCCTCTGTCCTTGCTGCTCACTGAATCAACAAGATATTCTTGGATGCTCAAGAAAAACAACAAGATGTCTTTGGCCCATGCAGCAATTTCCTTTCATCTTCAGAACTAGAAAGGGTTAAATGCTGCAATGGACCCTTCTCTTGTAGATGAAGCCTGAGCCCTGCAGTGTTAAGTAGATGGAAGACAGGTAAAGCATGGCCAAAGCAAGGAGGAGATGGCAAAAGGACTCCCATTTATCACTGTGTTTTAAACCTAATAAAAACAGAGAGAACTGATTATCACTTCAAAGACACCTTGATGTCATAGGGTTTTCTAAACAGACCTAAAGAACGAGCCTTGCATTTTACCTTTAGAACAACATTACATATAGGAGTCTTTACAAAGCAGAGTAGAAAATTAATGTCCTTTCCCTAGGCTCCGTTTTTTTACGGATGAGGAAACTGAGGCACACAACTCGTAATTAAATTCTCTGACTACATTTGTCTTACATCTTGCTTTAACAGCCAGATCACGCTGCCTCCTAACTGAAAAAAAAATCTTGATTTGAAAAGAGCTTCATCTGGGAAAGGGTATTTCCTTCCACTTAGGCTAAACAAGCAGCAGAAAGGCAGTCTCTGTACTGGTAGGAAAGGGTAACAGGTCCTGAAAAGAAGCAAGGTGGTGAGAGAAAAGAGGAGGGAACAGCTGGTGTAAGGCTCTTCCTTAGGCAGAGCACATCACCAAATATTCAAGCAGCATCTTCATCCTTTGGTGATCAAAGCAACAGAAATTGAATCCAGCTGTAATCATCCACAGAGTGGTTTGCTTAAAATTCCCCTCATTATAGAAGTGCAGAAAATTACTGCGCCATGATGCACTGAATAGGAAATTGAAGGCTCCCACAACCAAACTACTGGCACTGTAGCTTAAAGAGAAAGACAAGAATGGTTCAAGGCAAAGGAGAGAAAAAGAAGAGACAAACGTAAAAACGTCAGGATATGTGAGCAGGGGGCCAGGAAGGGGGGGAATACTAAGAAAGAAAGGTAATAGTCTCTCACACTGTCTGAAAGGCCACCAATTTTGAACATCCGCAAACTAAAGAGTTTCCACACTGAGGGAGCATTGAGAGAAATACAGACCTTGTGGATCTGGCCCCTCTGTTTTGCTAGCAATTCTGTTGTAACACACTTGACACCATACCACAAGCAATATTTTATCCAGAGCTTTTGGTTGAAATTCAAAAGGACTCTTTGGTAAAAAGTGGATGAATTTCTCTGTATAAATAACCTGAATTAGTGCCTCCCAGCACGTTCTTCCAGCAGCAATTTTTCATGATAGATGACAGTAGACACTAGAGAGGGCTCAGCCACTCAATGCAGTTGCTTAGGGACAAGAGTCCCATACTTTCCTACAGCCTCTTGGTTTCTGAAAAGTCAGAAATGTGCAATAGCAGTTCCCAAGAAATCCAACTATACAGGAATGGTGAAGGTAAAGAAGAAAGAATCTTCTCTGCTGCAGTTGAAAAGAGATTGAAACATGATGCAGTTTCTCTAAAGAGCACAAAGCCCCAAGCTGAGGTTAACTCAGGAGGATGAGATCGGAGAAAGTTGTTTAATTATGGGATGATCAATAAATGGGGAGCCTGAACCTTATTTTCCATGTATCTTGCTGGAACGAAGAAGAAAGGTCAGGTCTGCATTTTGGCATCAACAATCTGGAGCACATGTGAATTACAGACAGGTGTCACAAAGACCAAAACATGAAAGCATCATCTGGCAACTGACAGTCGGCTCATCCCCCTCAAGTGCAGTGCTTACCATTGCTTCTAAGGGTTGCATTAAAGGTGAAAAAGAAAAAAGTTCATTCTATCCGTGCAGAAGCCTACACAAGTAAAATTTCAGAGGGCTATGCTCTCACTGGAAAACCAAGGAAGCCACAAACCAAGGAAGATTTGAGCCTGAACAGAGTGCAGAATGAATTCTTCTTACGCTCTAGATGTTTCAACTGGGTGTGGGAGAGTAGCAGCCTCCTTGTCCAGGAGTGCACACAGCCTATGATAGGCAGAACACTTTGCTTACTGGGTATCAGTGTAATTTCAAAGCCTTAAATTCACTTAGGATGAATGAGATGAGCAGTTCACCGCAGCACAGCATACTTCCTGAAATCATAAAGGGCTATTTTGGCTCCAGCTCCCTTCTCCCAAAACTGTGTGCTACAGTACTATATCAAAAGCTGCTTACAGGAGTCGAGTAATGCTCCAGGGAATACCACACCCATTAGAAACCAGTGCTAGGGCAGAAAAACACCACAATCCTACACTTGGATGAATCACAAGTTTAATTCATCCCACCAATATGTTTCTACTCAAATCCCCCAATCCTTTTAAAATAAACATCCACAGAAAACAACCAATGACCCCAAAATGTGCATTATTGCAACCCTTCATCAACTAGTATAGAAAATATCATCAGCAACCTTGGTGTGGTACCCATAAGCAATATTTAACCAAGAGCTTAGTACCTATGATTATAGGATAACTAAGGTTGGAGGGGCATCAGGGTTTTCTAGCCTAACCTCCTGCTGAAAGCAAGGTTACCTATGAGGTCAGAACAAGTCACTCAGGACTTCATCCAATCTGGTCTCAAAAACCTCCAATGAAGGAGGCTGGACAGCCTCCCTGCACACTGACGGTAATTGATAACTGTGATTCATATTTAGAAAGTGTCTGAGGGATCTATAATTTTGGTGGACATGAGTAGAAGAGGAAGAAACAGAGGCTGAGAGAACAAGGGGACATTGCAAGGTGGAAAGATTTTTGCATTTTTTTTCTCCTTTTAATAAGAACTGTCTTGTGGCCAGTATCTCTAACTCCAGTGATGTGCAGCCGGTCATTTGTCCCCCAAGATAGCCCACAGTGCAGCTTACCAGTCAGCGGTAGAAAGTCTCAGGTCTCTGTAAACATCTGGCCTGTTGGTTGAGCTGAGGTGTCCGCAGTTTGTGGTAATAACATGGGACATTAGTTTGCTGATATCTTTGTATAACAAGAGGATTGCAATTAACATGATGATCCTTTCTTGTGTTTGAGCATGTTGGCATGGATTATGAAGTCAATATAGCAAAACAATCCAAAGCAGGTTATTTACCCAGCCGTAAAGGGGCTCTGCTTCTGCTGAAATAAGAACTTTGGTGTGAGGTAGCCACTTCTGAATGCACGTGTCAGTCAGTATGTTTGCATGGCACCGAGCGGGGACAATGTACTTTGTGCTCACATGTCCCAGCTGGCTAGGGACACATGCTGATGTGATGTGTGTTCCCATGCCCAGGAAAGCGCTGGCCTCACCAGCTTAGGCTACACCCTACCTTTTGCTGGTGCTTTTATGCCCTCTTAATTATCCTCTAAGGGAAAAATCAAGCCTTCTCCTGGCTTGCTCCAAACATCCTATGCTGTATCACCAAACCACAGCTGTCCATACACCATCTCCTCTGTGGCAGCATTCCCCTTCCCTTCCATCCCTCTGCAAGTGTGAGTATTGATTTCCCAAGTCAGAGCAGCCTGTAAGATCCTTCTCAAGCCTATGTCTGAACAAATCAACAGTTGCTCTGGTCATTATCTGGGCAAAGACAGGCCTCAGGAGACTGGTATGCCCAGGTACACACAAGCAGACAGGCTGCATTTGATCATTTGCCATCTTTCTATGCTGAGAATCAATGTCTCTCCAGCCCACTTCGCCTCCACCATCCCTGCTGCTGCTGTAATCACGGGCCAGTAACAAATGAGAGGTATTTATCATTACTCTGTGGTTAACTAGGTTATGGTAATTAATGTAGAGGCACCTGAAAGTTTGCTGGCAACTCTCCAGGGATCCTGCTGCAGAAGAGAAATGAGAGTCCATAAGAAAGAGAGGGTCTCTCACTTGGATGGTTTTGTGAAAGATGCATATCTCCTTGGTTAAATTAATTTTATCTGATGAAGTGATAAGCACTTCATCGCGAGGGTTGTTTCAATAGAACCGTGTCAGGGCACTTACCATAGATAAAAAGGAGTTGAGACTCCTTCCTCCCACCCTATACAAGCACAATAGGTTGCCCAGTCCCTTTTCCATTTCTAGGGTCAGAACAGCACTCAAGTTTCAAGCACATCCAGACTGCAGGGCCAGACTGCTTACAGCATTCAAGTTTTCAACAGTCTCCCTTCTTTACCCTGCTTTGGCAAAGCTCCTATTACAGTGCTGTTTCCTAACATGAGATTTCAGCCCTGTTCCCTACCACAATCACCGAGACCTATCACATTGTTCCATGGAAAAGGGACTCCAAAAACTAATTCACTTCTTGCCTGCCAGCACCAAAGAGCGTTCAAGCTTGCTGCACTCCCCAAGATGGCCAGTTCCGAGCATTCAAGTGCAACATCCCATCTGGAAGAGCCATACACTTGTAGAAGGTCAACACTCCTGGAAACCCTTCTACCAGCATCATCCAAACACACAGCTGGGTAGCTCTAATGCATTCAGGCCAATTTTTCTCAGTCCCATATGGATGCAAAGAAGCATAGTACCATCTGCACATAATGAAGACTGATTTCAGCCAAAAGGAAATTCTGCCTGTTTTATAGGGATTGTTACTGATGGGCAGGGGTCTTGCAGTGCCAGGCACAGATTCCCACTCCTACTGAGGAGTAATAAATTGCTTTCTGGGGCTGTGCATCTCCCATCCTGCAAGCTGCTCTAAAGTCTGAAAGCTAAGTGGACCAGTCACACACACACACACACACGTGGTAGAAACAGAATAAAATGGGAACCAATGCTCTTGTTTCTCTGTGCAGAGACCCCAGGGACTCAATCCCATGCATGTGGAGCATAGAGTCCAGGCCTCAGGGCAGACCATGCATTTGGTCATATCAGACTTCACCCACATTTTCAGATCCTATGTAGTCTTCCCTCTTCTCTCCAGTTGAAGGTTTTACTCAAGTCTTACATTGTTTGCATCGCTTGCAGAGACCGTACTTCCCTTTCTACTTCAACTGTTATTGACAAGCTCAAGAAGCTTCCCAAAAAATGAGGTTTTAATCTCTGCAGCATCCTTCTTTTGGTCCTTAAAATGATACAAAAAATAAGGAAAGTATTAACTGCCTGAGTATGGTACTTTCTCAAATAGCAAGATTGCTTTTTCAGAATGTAAATCCCCACAGTGAGTCTAGACACCCAAATTAGCCATTTTCACTTATTATATTTTAAAACTAACATAACTGTTCAAGGTCTCCTTTTTTGTACATCTCATTGCAAAGTCAGACAAACGCAGGGTTTTAAAGGCTCTTATCCCATGGTCTTACACAGTAATATATTTCAATTTCTTTAGCCAGCTTTCCCCCCCCCAGCTGAGTGTTTCATCATCAACTTTCAATACAGTTTGTACTGCATTCTGCATAATGCTAAATCATTTCATTAATGAAAAAACCTACCCATTATAAAACAAATATATAAAATATGAACAGCTAATCTTTCCCGTATATTGCAAGGATTAAATAAACAGAAAAATCAGCAGAAACTATTCTTGACACGTTGAACTGCCATAAAATTTAGTAGGTGAAATGTTCATTTACATATTCCCAAAATGCAATAGGGTGACACTTTTGAAATTAGAAACTGACGATACAAATGGCATTTAAAGTTCATTTAATATTATTTGTTAAAATTCCACTGACAAATCTGTCATATGTATAGCAGATCCTATTACTAGAAGGAAAAAAAAGGAATTGAAATCAAAACCCATCCTAACTTTGAAGGGTCTATTAAGACAGTACATGAGAATTTGCATTGTCAAATAATACTAACAGGAGGATTTTGTAAGTGGAAATGTAAACTGGAAAGGATTTTAAATGATAATTTATACCGATAACTAGTTTTAGAAATAGACTTGACTGTTTCTCCTATACACAATGAGAAATGCTTTCCCTCAGGAATTGGGGGAATCCAAACAGAAGTAGTATTTTTGAACAACAAATTAAGAACCACTAAGGATTAGGATGAAAAGTGTAGTTTAACAGGTAGTGCACTGAACAATCTGTCAGTACAGCTCATCAACCAACGGCCTTGCTATTTTCTTCCTCTGCAACTTTGAGAATGGTCTTTTTCCAGGTATTTCTGACTTGCAGCTGTCTTCCCATGTCAGGGAGGGGGGTCTGTATAGCACCACTACCACCAAAGGCTTGCACTTGCTAGCTAGCACTTTTTGCCCCATGATAATGCTCTTGACCCTTTGATTGTGTTGCTCTAAGGAAATTCTCCTTATCTCTGTTTTTCATAGAGGAGGCTGCTGCAGGATGCAGAGAAGAGAGCCAGCCCTGGGCTTCAGGTTTGGAAATGATTCCCACTTGCCAGAAGGAGGCAGTAAAGATTTGCTCTACATCAAGAAAAGAATCCTGATTAAAATGGGAGATGGATAATTCCTCATCTAAAAGAAAGTGAAGTTGTTTAAATTTTTGTTTATTTTCACCTCACAAATATGCAAGGAAAGCATCTTAGATGAAATAGTGCATGGAAATTAATCTGTTCATAATACTTATAAATATTAACAAGCTAGTAAATATGTAACCCTATTGCTTTCCCACTCTGTTCTCATCTCTTCACAGTAAGTTTCACCAGGGAGGGTCAAGTAGGTGAGGGGGTTGTGGTGGTAAATGGCAGCATGGTAGAAGAAAAACACCCATGACATTACTAGTATGAGTATTCAGAAAAGGATGCTCTAAGCTTCTCTGTCTTCTCTCTGCCTTGCTAGTTACACAGCAGCTTTTTCTGCTGTCTTTAAAGACATCTGTCTCTCTAGCAGGCAACTGAGGTTTTGCAAACTCTTGTGAGGTTGATAAGCACTATGTTACTAAACAAAGATCTGAAGTAGCCTGCCTAGTTCTCTCTCTTCATTCAGATTCCAGCCATTCTGAAGATTATGGTCTGGGACAGGCCTCAAGTTGGTGTCCTTCTCCATTCAGAGCAAGAGCAGAAACAGCTTTACAGATCATAAGCAAGAAGAGAGAGCAAGAGAGGTAGAGAGAGATGCAGAAAGACACATAGTGTTTAGGAAAGGATTGTTTCTATAGCAATTAACTTTTGAGCCCTGCTGAGTTCATTTCATGAGTCCTTCCCTTGCCCTGTAACAGGGCAAATCATATGGAGTTCACAGTAGCTGTACCATTTTCTGTTAGTTGATCTTTTAATGCCTACGCGTACAGAAGATGGCACCTTATATTTTGGTGTTTATCAATGAATCATTTCTAATTTGAAACTTATGTTGCTTTCATAAAAGGATTCCTCCGTTCTGGCAGAGAAAATGAGTTTATTTTCAAATTATGTGAGATCATGTGGCTAAAAAGGAAATCTTGCATCAGTTGCATTTAGTGAGAACCATCAAGACAGATTTGTACCAAAACCTCTAACATTTGCAGTTCCAGAAATTTTCAACAGGGAAAACCCTCAGCTTGGCTAAATATCCCAAAGACGACATATTTAATTGGCATGAGTTTTCCCAAAAGACCAAACTGTGAATCATATACAAAGGAAGAAAAAAGCTGCTAAGATATTACATAGCATTATCATGCTTAGGTCCTTGAACAATTTCCCTTTAGAACAGCCATCACTGGAGAAGAGCAGAGCACAGTCATGAGGTTCCAGGAATATGATATGAGGTGAGGAAGCACAATAGTTTAAAAGGTACATGGAATGAAGAAAGTGAAAGAAACAAGTGAAAAAGATGGTAGAATTGGACCATGGCACAAAGTTTTGCCCAAGTTACCTTGTGCAATCAGGTTTCGGAGATAATATCTCTGAAATGACATCACTCACCTTCCTCAGTGGGGACTGCGCATGTCCACAGCTGCCCTCTGCCTGTGCCATGCAGTAGAACCTTGATTAAGTCTCTTCATGCCCCAATGTTTCCTTTAATCACTCTCAGGCAATCCTTTCCCTTTCTGTGCTGACACCATCAGGCCTCCTCAGAAGTGCTGAGTTTGGGAAGTAATTGTGCTGTCGTGGACTGACATCTGCAGAGACAGCTCAGGTCTTAGCAAAAAAAATCCAGAGGCAAAGCTGGAAAGCTATTAATGTTTAACACACGGAAGTTGCTGTCTGTCAGATGCTCCGATCACCCTGAACTTGGCAGGCAGAATGTGTTAGCACATCTGAAGCTGCTGAAGAATTTTTTCAGGCTGACAGAAAAGGCACACCAGTCTTCCATTACCACTGTGCATCTAAGACAGATGAAGAAATAGACCACGTAGAACAGACACACAACCAGATCCTTATGAAACTTGGTCACATCAGTTCCCAGAAGTCTCAGGTAAGGATTGGGTTTGCTCAGAAAGCTTGTGATGGAAGGAAAACTTCCTGACAATCCAGCTAGGGTTGCACCATGTGGCAAAACATAGCCAAGATCCTTCTTGCTGGTCTTGGATGCTGTTCATAACAGAAATAGTCCAGGACCTGTGCTGTGGAGAGAGAAGAGGACTTGTCTAAAGCCTTGGATTGACTGTGGCAGAAGTGGCAGAAGAAGGTTTCCCAACTCCCATCAACTTAACTTGCAGCATTAATATAGACTCTAAGGCTGGAAAAAAGCCCTTGTATATCTAACATGGTCATAGGAAAACTGGATGGCTCTGAAGAGGTGCCTAGAACCATAACCCAGGTTATGTTATCGGGATAATGAACTGAAATGCCAAATGCACAAGTACTTTTAGTAGACTTGTGATTTTCAGAAATGGCTCAGAGCTTCTTTGTCTCCCTCAAAGGGAGATCGGGCATGGAACACAAGGCTTTGGCTCTCAAGGGAAAAATGGCCTGGATGAAACAAAGAAAATACAACTAAACAGAATAAAAGGCCATCCTGCATTCTCCTTGTGTTTGAGTACTTAGCCCCAATACACATTCTGATCTTTCCATTGTCTTTTGTTTCTGATCCCATTCAGCTCCTTGTGGAAGAACAGTTTTTCTGATCTCAGAGGACCTCAGTTAAGACTGCTGACAACAGGTTGTCTTTTCTTAGTTTCTTTTCACAGCTTCTTATACATAATCTTTCGACCCTCAATGATACTCAAACTGCAGGTAGAAAAATCACTGACCCATGGCACTTTAGTGTATGTCACCTCAGCAGCTAACTTAAAACTGCTTGCCAAGACTAGAAGATTGAAAATGTGTTATGGACGCAGATTTATTGTGTTGCACTATCCAACTCTAGGTAGCAGCGATTCAGACAAAAAACAAGGGAATCAGGATGCTGAGAGATGGATTTGATGGTGCTGATGTCTTTCTGATGAGTGCCTAAACAGTCCCATTTAGTTGTGGAGATGTTTGTTGTGTCTACATCCAAGGAAGATCATGCTGCTGTACCTTGGTAAAATGTTTTAGGAGCTCTGCTGGAATATGCAATGGTATCCTAGTGCAAGTAATAATGCCTCAGTAGCATTCAATCTTCATGAGAAAACTCTGCTTTTCCATGCAGGAGGAAATAATTGTCTAGCTTCCTACAAAATAACACATTACTTCACCCCCAAGAAAATACACTGAAACATGGTCCCTATCCACATTGTGAGCTGGTATTTCTCAAGCCTTAGAGAGGCTTGCCATTAGAGGCATGCTAATGCCTCTAGTGTAGCCTTTCAAGGTATTTGAGCCAGCCCCTTGTTGGAGGCTTGATTATAGCCAAAGAAGCCCTGCCTCAAAATAGTTTTCAGTACCCAAAGTCCTGTCTAGAAAGAGTGCAAAATGAAGAGGGCTGGGTAGAGAGTCTGAAGCCCACAGACCTTCCTCCAAAATGCACCTCCTCTCCCAGCACTGCAAACACAGATACCCAGCCATTGATCGGCATGACTGATGGGGATTTTAAAGAGGAAAGTGTGCCAGATCAATATGCAATCCACAGTACATGAATCACTCCAGCTTTCCCAATTTCTTCAGCTCCAAATCAAATGAACTAACACAAGATAAATATATAGCCATGGGGAGGTCAGAAGTTGGTGTGGGTGAGGAAGGCATGTGGGGAGGAAGACTCTCATACGGAATAATTAACTAGTTTTTCTTATTCTAACAAAACATTAAACCAGTAAATCTGTGAAAAGTGAAATACTGGAGAGATGAGCTACTGCATAAAGCAGAAACCCTGGAATCCCGCTCTGCTTCTCCAAGTGCCTTCAGTTGCAGGGGAGGGCCCAATTGCCCATGGGGACAGAAACAGCCCCAGCTAACCATCACAGCCAGGGTGCTCCTAGTTTTCCAGCAGTCTTTTCTATGCAGCTTGAATCTCTCCCTCTGCACTCTGAGAGCTCGTGAAGGCTGTGGGAAAGCATCTCTCTGCTCAGTAGAGGAGAAATTGAAGAAAACATTTATTCTGAGCATGAGACAGAAAAGCCAAATATTTCCCTTCTGGGTAAACTTTCAAGTTCTTTATGTTCAGCTCAGAATATTTAGGTTGGCTTGGGGGATTACCAAAAGCAGATGGTCTGCCCTTTTGTTTTGCCTTCTTCAGGGTGAAGGCTGTTATTAGATGACAAAACGTGGTTTTAACATGAAAAATAGCAAAGTTGTGTGTGGTACAAGTAAATGCTGTTACAGTCTTTTACAAAAGAAGGCATTTAATTACTAAAAACACAGCTAAAGCTTTTTTTTAAGCTTGAGTAGGGAAGTTTTAGGTATTCTTTTCTGGAGCTGGGAGCAAAAGAAAGGGAAACTAAATAATGAAGCTGAGCTCACATGATGGGTATACAAACTCATCCTTAAACCACATACATATTTCCAATAGACAGGGCTCACACTTGGGAAGCTTGGTTGCACATTCCTTGGTTCTGACCCCTCTCTTAATCACTGTCCAGCACCAGGCATCCAAGCAGACAGCAGCAGCACCTTTCCCGATACCATCCTATCTAGCCTGCACCATCACTCTGTGCTGCAGGGCTTCTCAGTGAAGAGATCTCTGGCTTCGCAAAAAAGAATGCTGTTCCACAGCTTCAGCCTCCTGATTAATTACTCATCAACAGGATTTGCTTTGCTCATTACCAGCTTCATTAACAGGATGGTGACAGGCAGAGGGAGGAGAGAGGACACAGGCATCACAGGCAACAAATTGTTTCTTCTGATAAGGAAATATTTGGACAAAGCCCATGTTATCTTCTTCCAGGCTGTCCAGTGTTCTGTTCCTTGTCTACTTTGCTAGGTTCACATAACTCCTCGTGACTCTACCCCACCAACTCAAGCAGACATGAGTGATGCTTTGACACCTTAAGCAGCCACAGCTTCATCCCATGGTGCCATCTCACACAACTTTTGCTTGTCCTTCATGTAATCTCAGATTTATAGCCACTCTTTACCATCCATTGTGAGTCTCCTACCCCTGCTACAGGCCCTTCTCATGCACCTCAGATAAAACAGCCAGATTAGGAGAACAACTAAGCACAAGGTAGAGAAGGGGAGAGGGTATAGATGTGGAGAGTGTAAGGCAGGGAAAAAAATCAAAGAGGTTCTGAAAAAAATGTTATTTTTTGATTTTGAACTCTTTCTATCCTCCAGGCCCGTATAGCTAGAAAACTAAGTTCAATAAAAACTGCATTAATTCTCCTTATAGTGAGCTGATGGATCTCCTGCAGCCATCTGTCTCTGACAAACCCATGCGTGTTTCCTGGTGTTTCAACCCCAACCAGCACTGCAGTGCAACCAAATGCAATTTTCTCATTGCTAGGTGCAAGGGCAGCACATCCTGCATGAGGGACTGGTGACCAGCATGACACAGCCTGCAAGCTGAGGCACAGCCGCTCTTCCTAGAGATGGGCTCCAAGCACAGAGACTTCAGGGTACCCATATAACCAAGTATGACAGACATATCCTTTCTGTGTACTCACATCAGACTACATGGAGAAACAAGGATAGGACAGATTTTCTTACTGACAAAAAGGTCTCAAAATAAGATAGGAAGTTAAAGTATTGCCAATTTTCCCAAGACAATCAATTGAAGTACAGTTTAGATTGTTTCACTGCACACTTTAGTCCAATAACTTTAAATTGCTCCATTTTGATTTTGAGATTTGAGCTTTTGTGAAGCATACAAATTTAAACTTCAGGTGAAATAGTAATTGTAAACTAAGATTCTTCCAAACTTTCTGCCTTTATTATTCCAGATTGAGGTGTTTTGATAATTTTAAAGGTTCCCCCCCTCCAAGCTTGGAAATTCACGAGGTCTTAAATCTTAAATAGTTGTTGCAACAAATCATCTCTTCTCAGCAAGCGAAAAATGCCTCTGAAAAATTTGCTACCATTTCTGAGAAGACAACCATCTCATTGTCCCTGTTCTCCTTCCAATTTTCTTACTGCCTCTTAAATCCTCAATGTTCCTAACATTCCTAACAGTGACCACCTTCTACCATAGAAATTCACTCTGCTGTAGGTCCAGCTAAAGAGAAAAATCTGTTCCAGAGAGTTGTCTCGAGAAGGGCAATGAAAAGCAATTGGTTTCATTAAAAGCTGAATTCAATTTTATGGACCCTATTTCAGGTACAACTCCAACTTCCCTACAGGTTGCAAAACTATGTTTTTTCCTCCAGGCTCCTTCCTTCACATAAGGACTTCTCCCCACTTCCATAGCCCCAGGCTGTTTCTCACTGGCACATCCATTCTCACACGCTGTCCTCTTCACTATTCCTTCTGGGAATCTCCGTGCAGCCCAGCTATGCACTAGAGAGAAGAGGGACTTGGTTGCTATGTCAGGCTTTTTAATTTCCCTCTGTGGTGATGGTATCATGGCCTTGACAGTGTACTAAACATGCCTTATCTCCTCTGCCCATGAAAAAGCAATATCAATTTGGTGGCGTTACGGGCTGAAGTGAGAACAATGCGCTGTGCATTGTTAAACAAACCACCAGCCTTGTGCTCTACAAGCAGAACAAGTGTAACTGGTGATATAGACTTTCAACATAATTATGGCTCACTAGTAAGCACAAAAGCCTCTCTCCCCTGCCTTGAGTATCTTGTAATGCAACAGCCCTTGATAATATCCTCACACTTCCTTCATCTTTACTCTGAATGATGCACCATCCAGGTCTGTGCATTTGCCCTGCCAGGTGGCTAGAAAAACCTCTGGCCTGGTTTTGACAGAAGTGTGTTTAAAAGGTAAGGAAGAGAGGCTTTGAAGCTTGGACTCTTGTCTAGTAAATAGCAAGACCCATGATTTTGTTAAAAATGTGCAGCTGGCGCTGTCCACATCACCTGTTTGATGCCTGAAGGCTCCCAGCAAAGCAGAGCCCTTAGGCAACCCTTTAGCTTCGAACACTCAAGTTGTCCTATTAAGTTCATTGGAAACAAGGCAGGTGGGAGCAAGGTCCTGGTGAAGACTCCAGAGTTGTCAGTCTGAGCCTCTTGTTCAAGCAGTTCATTTACTTAATGCTGACATTAAAGTTTTAAAGGATAAACTACCAGGCACAAGCCCAACTTGTATCAGAATTTGTCA